TTTTTTTGGCTATTTTGTATTTTAAATTCCTAAATGAGGACCCACATACCTGCCATGAGAAATGACGCTTGAAGGTGGATGCAGTAACGCTATAACAAATCCTCATTGGAGAAGAATGGTGCTGGATCACAGAGCTCTTCTGGGAGCTAAGGAATTAACAAATTATATATGTAAAAAACTAAAAGAGAAAGAAAAATTCTGTATTTAAATGATGCTGCTGAATCACCTGTCAGTGAAGCATGTCTGTATGATATGAGCAAGTAGCAGTAAAACTACCAGCTTCTAAAATGTTCCGGATATCACAATACAGGAAATTATCACTGACCTTTTGTAATCAAAGCCCTATGATTATCACAACAGAAGGTGAGAGGAGCTTTGTTTTTTAATCTTTTTAAAATCAAAGTCTTGTAGAAAATATATAGTTAAGCCATATAAAAACAGACAAAAGAAGGTAAATTTACTTCGTGTATTAAAATTCTACAAATACAATTTTTCTGTCAATACAACTCTGTCAATACAATTAAAAGTCTACAAATACAATTTTTCTGGGTATTTACAATGTACCAAACAGGAAAAAGCATTCTCTCTTTATTAACCCATTTATATCAAAATGGCAAGATAGAGAAGATTAAATATCCTTATTTACCAATGAGGAAACTGAAGTTCAGTTAGGTAAGTAATGTACCCAGGGAACCTAAAACTGCAGCACAGACTGTTTCAAATGCCCACCTAATAAACTCACCTTCCCTCTGTTTATATTTTCTGTAGATTTCCATTTCTTTTCTCTTGTAAAGTATAGCTTCTCTAACTATCTCTCATTTTTGTGCTCCAACACCACCAGCATTGCTACATCTGCCTCATCAAACAAACTAACATATATACATACACACATACACACCCAGGTAGTGCTATAAGGTCTTTTCACCTAGTCTAAGCCCATCCTTCAAAGTGTCACTCACATTAGTCTTGAATTCTTTTAACACTTCACTTTCCATTGCTTAAAGTCCTTTGAACATGGCTGCAGTTGCTCTAATAAATTTTAATTAAAATGTTAATTGTTATAATTGCTTACCACATCATCTCATTCAGCGAATATGTTGATCGTTAATCTTACACATTTCTTCCCCCTCAATAGAAGATTTTAGTGCATTTTTCAAATGTGGGATTCATTAGTAGACTAGTAGTCTTGAGAGAAAAGACCTTGGTTTATGGTGGTGGTTGTGTTCTATGTAGTCAATTAGGACTCATAGTGACCCTGTAAGATTTTCTGTGGCTATCAATCTTTATGGGAGCAGAAAACCTCATCTTTCTTCCAGGGAGTGGCTTGTGGATTCAAACCGATGATCTTCCAGTTAGCAGCCCAATGCCAAACCCACAACACTGCCAGTGCTCCTTAATCTATGACATATCTGGAAATACAATCCACCATTCATCACTATACAAAATCACTTCCTTAATAAGCCTGTGTTGTTGTTTTCTAAGCATTCTAATAAT